GGTTCCTTCTAATTAACAAGATGAAAATTAACTACCCTCTCCAGAGCATCACACAGGCAACTAGTCAAAGCAATGGGTATATTGAGGTCATTTGATTGGAGGACCCCCTTGTACATAGTTTCAGGGTCTATTTTAGTATTAATTAGTATTGGATTCCAGGGTCTGATTCTGTTTTTTACAATTTCAGGTGTCAGCCACTGACAGAGATCTGCAAAATAACACAGTAACCTACAAAATAACCAGCGGAAATGAAGACAGGATCTTTTTAATTGAATCCCAAGAGGGAAACATCCGAGTGAACAAAACAATGGCTCACAAGCTCAACTACGACACAAAGAAGCAATACATTTTACTGGTCCAAGCCAAAGATTGTATGTATACATCCAGTTTTCCTGCTTTTAAATGTTTAAATATATATATGGTGCTCATTATATTTGCATATTTGATCTTAGTTACATTAGAGCCGATCAGTCGTTACATTAATATGTTTGTGTCTACTTGTGTGTATATTTGTAATGTTTTCAGGACATACAATTTACGTTTTCTCGCTATAATTATTCATGCACGTTTAATTTGTTATTAAAATTATTGTCTAACAGCGTTTAACATAGACCTCCAAAACTATCGCGTGCAGATGGCCAATTTCTGGCCATAGTTAAGTTCTGTGTTAAGTACAACTTATCTTCACTGTTAAGTACGGCTTTAAAGAGGACAGAAGCATGAACTTTCACCTTGTTTATAAAGTTTGAAATAGCAAACAGCACAAGTAAATAAACGCTCTAATAACGAAATGTATTCCTGAATTTCAAATATGATAGAAGTGTTAATGGTTAAAAGAATTAAGACGGTTTTGGATAGTTTTAAAGTTGGATCACGAGAGATAAGATAAAGAGGAACACTGTTGTATTGCAAGTAAAATCATTGTAAAAACTAGTTTTCAATATTATAATAACTTTTGGAAGAAAGTAAACAACTGTTTAAAAATTATTAAAATATATCTTGATTTCTTCCTTAGCTCACAACAGTCCACAATATGGCTTAACTACTGTGACCATTGACGTACTTGATACTAACGACCACCCCCCTGTCTTCACGAAACCAGCTTTCTCTATTGGCATACCGGAGAACAAACCCGCTGGACATTGCTTTTTAAAGGTATGAAAAATACAGCCAGCTTGAACAATTTGTTTGCTGTCAATGTGTGTTTTGGCAGTGGCTAAAGACAGATTGGCTTATCTGAAAACAGATTTCCTTCGCTTTAGTTACACTGAACGATGGATTATTTCCACTCTTTACGCTGTTAGATTTTTGCTACACAGTGGGCCCAGGGATCGAACCCTACTTTTTTAGCATCACATGCTATGAAGCTTACCAGTGAGCCACCTAGGGGCAATTCTTATAATAAGTTAATCCGTTCTACTAAGTAACAAACACATATATTTCCTCTCACTTCTCATCAGAGTTCATATTACAGTACGAGTTTCTATAAAGCTGTAAGTTAAACTCAAAATGTATTTTAAAAAATCCTCAAAATTACAGACTATTGAATATCTAAGGTACCGTCTAGAAGTCTTGATAAATCTGTTTACTTGAAAATAAGCTTCAATACTTTTCATAAATTACAAAGTATTTAAAATGTTTCCGTTACTGAAATCTCTATGATGATATTTATTTCTAAGAATTGAACATTATCCATTCGACAAAATAAAATGGTTGAAACATGTTTTTCTCATGGTAAATATGTATAGATAAAATGTACACCCTCAAAAAAAGAAAAGTAATCATGAATCATGTTTCAAGTGGTCCACAGTGGAATTTGTCTTGCAGAAACCATACTGGATGACTAATGAACAAAGTTGAAATAGACCCTGAAACTATATACAAGAATAATGAACAAAGTTGAAATAGACCCTGAAACTATATACAAGAATAATGAACAAAGTTGAAATAGACCCTGAAACTATATACAAGACTAATGAACAAAGTTGAAATAGACCCTGAAACTATATACAAGAATAATGAACAAAGTTGAAATAGACCCTGAAACTATATACAAGAATAATGAACAGACTCAAATTAGACCCTGAAACTATATACAAGAATAATGAACAGACTCAAATTAGACCCTGAAACTATATACAAGAATAATGAACAGACTCAAATTAGACCCTGAAACTATAAACAAGAATAATGAACAGACTCAAATTAGACCCTGAAACTATAGACAAGAATAATGAACAGACTCAAATTAGACCCTGAAACTATATACTGGACATCTGAGTATAATAAATGTTTTCATTGTTCTTTTAACCATCTGGGCTTAAGCTGTACAGTAAGATAGCTTATTATCAATGTTCGGGATGATGTTCCATCTCTGTTTATAAACATGAATATTTCTACAAAACAAACCAGAGTCATCAGTGTTCAGGACGATGTTCC